TATTTCGATATTTTCGATGGACTTATATTATTCACGATATATATCACGGCCGATGTATGCTAGCTGAATAATATCGATCAACAATAAAGTCGCGCGCGCGTGTGTCTTCCTCATAAATAATTTATTTCTGTCCCGTTTACGAAATTGCCTTTCGCGTTTCGTCGCGAAATATCGTTCAATGTCGCGCCCGCGATTCACCATTGTGTATTTTACAACGGCATTTTCACTTTTAGCCAGGAGAGAACTAGCGTATTCGATCCCGCACCGTCGACGATGAGATCCAACACGAGGTGCAAAGTATTTGCCAAGCGTCGTGGTTATTTTTAAATGTGCATTTCGCATTATAACCAAAGGAGCCTCTTGATGATCCGGCCTAGGCGTATATATATATTGATCGATATTAAGTAAAAGCTCATGTTTCTTCCTCTTTCTCTATACCATTATGTTATCATTTTCCGTTAGTCTCTTTTTTAATAATTGAAAAAAAGAAATATGAATATGAACTTTTTGTAAACGAAGCATTGGATGTTACAACGATATCGTAATTACGTTTGGATGCTTACAAAGTTTCATAAAATTTATAGTATCTATTTTGTCTTATATCAAACTACAAATTATAATATAAGAACGGCAAAATTTGCGAAATGCATCTTAAAACAGTATTGATTAATTTTTCACGCGCTATTATCGAGAGAGAATTAATATCTTCTTGTTATCTATCGATACGTAACAGAAATATATTAAATAACAAATAGATAAGTCTCGATAGGTATCTCTAAGATTTGAGAAAAGATTAGCTATACGTTGCGATTCGGATCATAAATAAGAATCCGAGACAACATCCAGTGCAATAAAGTTTGTTTGCTGATGCACGATTTACACAACGCACAGCAAACATTACCCATCATTTATCTCTCACTCTTGATATATACAAAAAAAAATTTGTTTTTCAAATTTTCTTCGCATCAGTAAATATAAATTCGCCCGATATCGAGCATCGGTATTTTCTCTCTCGACACTGACAATGAGTATCGGTAATTGATTCTGATATAACTAAAACTAAACATGCATATTTCATTCAAGTGGCGAAGAAATGTTTCGATTGTACGTGTCCCCCGCGTGCGAGGACAACACGGTGTATTAACGTGCATATGCACGTTATTAGATGCTCCATGCGAAGACGAGAGGAGAGGGAAGAGAGAACAGTAGTCGCGGTAGTGCCCCAGTTGGGTATTGATCCGTGACAGTGGGAGGTGCTCGTTAGAGGTAGCTAGGTCGTAGGTCGCATGCGCGTTTCCACCGATGATTCCGTGTCGCCATCATCGACCCGCGGCCCGAGAGAAATAGAGCCGAATCGGTGAGAAACGCCAGAGAGAGAGAGAGAGAGAGAGAGGGAGAAGGGAGAGAAAAAGACGGCGGGTTGGGTAGGGAGAAACGGGGAAAATGGAACGAAACGCGAAACGTGGGAACGAAAGAGAGGGATAGATAGCCATGGAAATTATCATCCGGCTATGCCCGGAATGGTACGGTACCATCGGCTCAGTTGGCAAATGTAATATAATTGATCACCCTTTAAATCGCGCCCCGACACTCTCAGAAAGTTTAGGCGGTAGCAGGTGGCAAAGGAGATTTAAACACCCACCGCAATAGAGAATGTGGGGTGAGCTGTCATTGAAACGGGTTGAAATCGAGGAAGAGGGAGCTTAATTTTACTCGACATTTATGTAATCAAATAATCGATTACGTAGACGCAATGTGTGCACTTGTTCGATTACATTGGATACTCCCGCATAGTAGAATTTTTATATTTCTATCGCGAATTATAATTGAACGAATCCGAAGAGGGAGGGCTCGAATGTGTTCCAAGCCGACCCTGGCGACGACACGCGACGTCGACCGGTCGACTCGCATGCGGCGTCGTCGCGATTGCCGTCGACGCCGACGCCGACGTCGCCGCCGGCGCCGCGGCGCGATCGTTGAAAGTTAATCCTTAATGACTCGAGAGTCAATGTCTCCCTCGATGTAGCTTCAAAAGAAATATCGTGCTCTCGTTTCTTCCGAATCAATTTCAATAATTTATTTCATTGTGCCTAGCTACAAAAAAAGAAGGGTGGGCAAAATAAGTAATTTTTTTTTTTTTCCATTTAATTAACTAGATATTTTTCTTAGAATTAATAATTATTGTAATATATATGTAACTTGAAAGCAAAGAAAAATAATTAATATTTAAATATAAAATATTTTTAATTTTACACATAGAATAAAATTGATCGTCCTTTTTTTAAAAGATGATCAAGAAATGTGTTGTATATAAAATATTTTAATATAATTTACCAGATATGTAGACAAATTATAATTTTTTGGGAGAAATACAAGAGATTGTTTTCATACTAGAAAGAATTTAGGGAGCAAAATGTACTTGTTCTAAAATCGCCAATTTGTTTTAGATTTTAAACTATACGTTGTTTGTTGTCGCTTGGAGGTATCAAAACACGTGCAGTGCGAAGGCGTATCACAACGGCTACATAACAAACGCGATCTAGGAAAGCGATCTAATCACCGAGACTCGACGTGCTTTCCGCCGCCAAAGCTCGACCACTTCCGCTTTTAGCGGACCGCCGACTCTGTTAACTCGATCCGTCGACTCGCGAAAATTTGCATAAGGTCGAAATCGCGTTCATCCTGCGAAGGCGTACACGTACGTTTACATTACGCGTTGTATAAACGCAACGATTACTGTGAGAGAAAATATATTTCTCTATATATAATCTTCTAAAAGACTTGAGAAAATTAATCAATGAATACATTTTTTTTTTTTTTTAGATTAACCTTTATCCAAACATATATAATGAAAAAATAATTTTACAAAATCATATCAAAAAATCTTTAAAATGTTCTCCAGAATTTTGAACAAAAATATTTGGAAGATCAAAGATTTTTCAGGAAATTTTTTTACAAGATTTGAGTAGAGACATTCTGTATTATAATTTCAAAATTTGGAGGGGAGTTTTTATTCTGATTACTAATTTTTCGAGATCAAGTTGAGAAAATTTCCTCTATCTATCTCGGATTTCGCCGACGAACTTTGCGCGAATTGTACATGTAATCGTATGGACAATCAGCGAGGTGCATATATGTGACCAAATTGCATAATCGTGACTTCCTCAATGACGAGGTGAGCTAGTGACGATGGACCAGAAGTAATAATACCCGTGAAATTGATCGTTTACATATACACGGCGGTCGCGACACCGGTAAACCGGACACGTAACGCATGAAGTCGGAGTTGGTTTTTTTTTTTTTTTTTT